CTCTTGCTGCTGGATTTGGAGGAATATTATTTTGAACAGCACACCGCGTACCATGTGACAAGCACTTTAAAAAAGCAGAGGTAAGTTGGATAATTAAAGGCAACGCTTCATCAGCATCTAACACCTTAAATCGCTGCACTATGGAAGTACTTTATAAGCTTGAGTACAAACCGTGCCATTACTTTCCTCTAAAATTGCAAAAAGCTAAAGAAGTCTTACACTTTGAAATGCTTCTCTCTGTTTTTATTGGTGCTATCATGTACTCATGTTTGTTTAAAGCTTTTAGGGTTGATGGTAGTTGCTCTGCCTTCTGAGGAACAACTGTTCAAACACCATTTAGTTCTGTAATGAGGGCTTGTGTAAACTTTTTTTTTTTTGATCAAACATTGTGAACTTTTCAGTGATAATCATGTCCTGTTACCTACCTACTGAAAAAGGAGTGAACAGTAAATACACAAAACACCCCCTTTGCTTTCTTTGTCTCATTTTGAAGATTTCTGTCCTTCAGGCCATTTGGACAACATTTGTGCCATGTAGCTGTTTTCATTTGGTTTATATTTGGCGAATATGTGATCGAGCTGTGGGGCTAACGCTGGCTCTAGGAAGTATGGTGTGGGCTGGATGTGAGTCAAATTCTGTTGTTTAGGCTAAACGTTTATTGCTATGTGGGACGACTTTACACTGTAGCTCTGCTCTGTAACGTTAGCCTTGAGACCCATCAATTCAAAGAAAAAGTAATCTGTTGTTTGAATTCATTTCCGGTTTTGATTTTCCCCGATTGAAACGCAGCCGATTGGGGAAAATCCGGGAAATAAAATTGATAGAGGTTGCTAGCCTGTAATTAGTATATTTCTCCTAACGTTTCAAGATTTTTTATTTTTTTTTATAAATGTCTATTGACTTTTTTGTGCAAAATATTTGTTCTTGTTTGTTTTACCGGGTTTTTGTGTGTTTTGTTTTGTTTTTTGGGGGTTGGTTTTTTTTTTTTGTTGTTTTGTTTTTTGGTGGGGTGGGGCTAGCTATTACTTAACAAGCTAACATCAGCTGTTTTCTTTCCAGAAAAATCAGAGGTTCATTCAAGATTTGTTCCAAATCGATCATATTTGATCCAGAGGAGCTTGCAGAACCAATTATAAAGGTTTGTTTTTATAATATTCTTTAAAAAAACAAAAATAAAACTACAACCAATAAACATTGTGGTAATGCTGCTAGCTAAATTTTAAATTGTGAATTTTAACATTAAAAAATATACGTTGGTGTCACGAGGCCTGTCTTATCTTTGCTGGGAGATACAGTTACCATTATGTAGGCAGGCTGGATATAATGGAGACAGCCTTGTGTTGTACATTGTTTGTGTTTTTTGTGTACAAAATCTATGAATGATGGATTTTGTAGTAACGCTACCACGTCTTTAATCATAACTGCTCACTCTGCCTTCAGATTCCTCTGCGAGATTGCAAGAAGATTGAGTTTGTGGAGGAAGAGAAGAACTCTTTTAACAAGTGAGCACAGTAATATCTTAGGCGTTGCATGTGCACGTCACATGCTCATCTTTACTCAGTTTGACAAACCGGTTTGGTTACTTGGAGTGCAAATGTAGCCCAGCTGTACTTGAAAAGCAATTTTGTAAGTAGCATCTGCAAATGATTGGGCTTCATGTGATTTTGAAAAATAAAAACGTGTTCACTACTACTTTGGATGCGGCACATACTAATGGTGATTATTCTGTTTTATTAATCTTGAAAGTGATTATAGTTTTGATGTCATAATTCTTATTATTTACTATCTGATTTGTGCACATGCTCACAGACCCGGACCATCAGTCATATCTATTCTCTGCAAGCAGGTGAGCTATGGAGTTATTATAAACATGTTGTTCTTCAGAGAGGCACCAGCCCTCGCAGCTTTTTCTCTGTAATATGTGGTATTTGATTGTTCAGGTTGATCCTCTTTACTTTCATCGTGTCTTTTTTGTCTAAGTAAATCCACTCTTTCATTTTCAGGTGATATACATCAAAGAAAGCAACGTTATTGCGCCTTACAGAAATGAAAGGGTGGTGAGTCAGCTCAGCATGAGTGTCTTCTGTTGTGTATTCACAGAGACTTGTTTGTGCTTCAAATCTGGAATGTCACTGTCTCACAATAACTGCTGCTGACTATTTCTTTTATTATGAAAGGGTGAAAACGGAAGGTAAAACTTTCTTACGATGAGTCAGAGCCCAATGATCACAGCCTCTGGACACATGTGCATTTGTTGGATCCATTTGAACACTATGCTATATAATGACCAGTGTAAAATTCTGGAATGATTGTCTAAAAACACTGAAGTACATTTTTAGGACAAGGTTACAGTGTGTCATTTTATTCAAAAGAAACTCTCTTCTGTTTTTGAATAAACTCGTCTGATCACAGGAAGAAAAGACGCTGACCTTTCAGTTAGAGTTCTGCAGTAAAACGGAGGATGTTGTCCAGACGTTACTTCAGGTATGTCGCTGGTACAAAACAAAATACTGTGGGGGGAGTTTTGTGTCACGTGTGCGTTGTGAGCTGCTTTCATTCCCTTTAAAATCTGTTAAATTTTGCAGCTCCACAGGGCCTCCTGTCTGGAAAAACTTGGAGACCAGACTGCAATGGTAAGTCTATCATTACACTCAGTCCACAGTAAGCCTCGAAAGCACTGCCCCACTTCACACACTGACAAAAATCCACATCATAAAATCTAAATAAAGGTCCAGTTTGTAGTGGCTTCATGCCACAACAGTGTGGTCCATCTCACATTTGTAGACCATTCCTCGAAACCCTGAAGATGAGGAAACGATGAAAAACAAATGCAATGAAACGGTGAAAGTCTGTTGCACTTCCTGTATTTGTCCCCTCTTACTCCTTCCTCTTTATGACCTTTAATTAGTTTAAAATTGTAAGTAACCATTGCGTAACCAAAGACCAAACCCACATTTCCTTTATTTCTAGATTGCTGCCAATCTACAATCCCGAATGGCGAGGTCATCGTTTGACAAAAACTGGTATGTAGATGTCAATCAGATGAGTATTTATACGCTTTTTCCTAACTTTATTTTTAAGCCTCATTGGGTTTGTGTTATGCGTGACTTAAACTTAATATAGTGATTATTATATAAGGTTTAGATGTACTAGAGCGTGCAGCCAGACAGGACTGTGGTGTTAATGTGCTGTGAAGCTTTCAGAGTGTTGCTGAAAACCCTCACATGGAGTGTGCAGTGGAGATGGTCATGCCTCTGGTGTGCAATCCAGGCCATGTCTGCGTAACAGATAAAAACCTCTACTTCCAGCCTCTCAATGGATATCCGGTGAGATGACAAAGCAGGCTGTGGGAATGGTGTTGGTGTGGCTGTTTGTTCAGATGCTGAACACCAGTAATGTTTCACAAACAAATGAATTGTAATTGGTGTGCACGTCCCCTCCCTTCAGGAAAATGTGATTCAGATAAAACTGCACAACGTCAGGAGAATCTACAAAAGACGGCTTGGTCTTAGACCCCTGGTGAGTCGCAAGTGCTACTAAAGGTAGCTTTAATATCTTTCTTTACTGCAGTTTATTTGGGTGATCTCATGGGTTCATGTGTT